ATATGGATGTAAGTTATGAACTAAGTTCCTTGAGGGCAAAACAAACAAAGAAAAAAGATTGTTCCATTTGTGAAAGTGGTGCCAAGAATATCACATCATCTCTCTCATATATCACACATGGGTCACACTGCTAAAGGATAAACTGTTACGTGACCTCTTAGGTAATAACCACTATGCCATAAAATAAAAGTGTGATATGGGCATTAAAACGTGACAGGAATATAAAACGTTTCAAATATCTGCCTATATGAGATTTAAAGAATTAAACTGATTTCAGTTACCTTATTTCATATTGTAAAGCATCTAGAATAATTGAATTGGAGCAAATAGCCAGGTAAAAATTTTTGAACAGTTAGCCAGTAGTTTTCATAATTTCTGTCACAAATTCAAAAAAGAATTACTAGTTTAGATTTTGGATTGCTAACTAATATAAAGAAATGTTTTGCTTATTAGATGGACAAATATGGGCCCTGATTAAGGAGAGACTAAGATTATAAAAAAGCTTTCGATATATATTTGACAAAGAAACTAAAGTAGAATAGAATTGGACACTTTGTTCTATCGCAATCTATATGAAAATAGCTTGTGTGAAAGCTCAAATAAATACCATAAAAAGAATAATAAATTAATACTTGCTGAACATATTTCTTCATAAGATTCTTGACAGAAAAGGGAGAACAGCAAAAGGAAATGCTATTTTTAAGGCATTTAATTCAGATAAGGAGAGTATGGAGAAGTTTGGAAATTCAAGTATTATTTTCATATTCTAGGAGACAACAGGAAAAAAAAAAATTCCCATCCTATGCAATCTTCCTGGAAGAAATTCCAGCAACAGCCTGTAAGGTAAACGGAGAGTGGAAAACCAATTCACAAATTGCAGGCTTGGGAAAGAATAACACTGCTTAGAAAATGAAAGTCGATCAAGATTGGAAACATTTCACCTGTTTTCATTTAAATCTTCAATCTTTTTTGCTGCTGGTTTAGGAAAGAGAATACAACATAATGGGGCAGCAGGGAGTAAGAATTCTAAATATTTCGAAATAGTCACATTGCCATGCTCGATGCAATTTTCTGTGACTAAAAGAAAACTAGGCATTTGGGTAATCTCCCAGTTAAAACATGGTTCAGGAAACTTAAAATAGTTATTGTCGCCCATGTGTTTTATTCCCCTATTATGTAAGATTTACTTTAATCAGTTAAGACAGAAGCTTAAAAAAACTATCACAGAAGTTAAAAATGGAAAATGAACTGAAATATTACTAGACTGGTCCCCTGCTTTCAATTCAATGTGTACCTTTCAGAGAGCTAAGCATTTATTGCAATAATAAGAATGCAAAAATAAAGTTACTTGTTACTTACATTTCTCATCCAATCCATGACAAAATACTCTGTGCTCATAAACACTTTTCCAAGGTGTCCAAGTTAAGTATTTCATGTCAATTCCAAATTGCCTTATAAACAGACTGTGATAAGTCAACTAATTCTGACAAGACAACACAACTGAAGGAGAGTCAGACTGCTTTAAATTTAAGTTCAAAAGAATTATTAAGTAAAGATATCCAGAGTTTCTAAAAGAACAATTAGCTCCCTGTTACCAATTTTTTTTTGAGATCATTATACTTAGAAGTGTGATACAAAATTTAAATGCTTAAAAGCTGAGAAATTTTGATAAGTCCATTTTTTAGTTACTGAACTACTGGATTTATGCCCTACTGATAATAAAATACCAGTAGAACATAACCTCATGAAACTTCCAAAAAGATTACATCCCCAATATTTCAACTAGACACGTGACTACCACCAATGAACACATATTTAGATAAGAGCTCCTGTACATTTAATCCTCATACCAATCATATGAGGTATAAGACTTTCCATTTTAAAAATTACCATTATCATCCCCATTATACAGATAAGAAATATGGTAGTGCAAATACCTGAACCCAGGACTTCAAATTCAAAAACTTCTGCTCTTTACCTGTACAAAGGACTACAGGTGAAATTTCCTGTGAGTGATGGGTTGAATTATATTATCTATACTCTGTTACCAGACGTGGTTACCAAATTGTGACAAAGCTAATCTGAATTAGGTGTTAGTCTGAGACTATAGGGAATGGCCTAAGAACCTAGGCAAGATAGGATTGAAAATTCCCAAGCTACTTTTAAGTGTTGAAAATATTAAATCTATAATAAGATACACTATGATTTTGGGCATTGAAAACCACTAGTGATCTACTACTATGGTTTTAACCCTTTCTCTGTCTCTGCATATGTCTCTACCTATGACACGCTGCCGTCCAAACCAGTGGCCCTCCTTAGGGCAGTGATTCTTAAGGTGAAGAAAGAAATATCCTTCTTTCCATCAAGGGACCCGCCATAAGGGGTAGAGTGACTGAGAGATTTTTCCCTTCCCTCTAGGAGTTATGTTCCCCCATCCCCAACATTTAAAATCCTTGTTCTATAGCAAAATAATAAATCACATTTACTGTGATTTATCTGGGGAAGACACTATTCTATGGACTCAACCAATCCTCACAACCAATTTATAAACTATATTAAGATTCCTATTTTATATATGAAGAAAGTAAGTCTCAGATAATTGAAGGCACTTACCCAAGGTTAAATATCTAAAAATGATAGAGCCTTGCTTTGGACCTAGAAAAGCTGATTCCAAAGATTAATCACCACTCAATCACCACATTATAATGCCACTCCTTAGTAGGCTGGAATAATTATAAGAAAGTCATTAAATCAAATGTGGAAACACTCTTCAAAATGATATTACAGTGACTTCACCAAAGTCTCAGGGAGGAAAATTATTTTATAAATACAGGAACAATCTAAAATGTATCTTGGTTTATAAAACTGAACTTTGGGCCTTAGGCACTCTTTCTCTCTCTTTAGCCATTTTTTTCCATAATTTTAAATCTTGCTCTAAATAACTGTATTAACTAGTCTGAGTTGATCCCAAATGCCAAAGTGCCACTGTTGTATAAATCATTTATGTCTACAGCACCCTTTTGAAAAAGAATTTAAATGACCTGTTAATAAGACATATCACTTATTTGATTATTCTAAAAATTTTAAAGGCTAAATATCATATAAATGAAAAAATATGACTAAATTTAATGACACAGATAAACCTCATAATTACAATGTTTAGCAAAAGAGGCCAGATACAAAGAATATACATGTATGATTCAATTTACATGAAGTACAAAAACAGGCAAATTGGTGTTAGCATTCAGAACAATAGTTACCCTTGGAATGGAGCACAAGAGTGTTTCTGTCTCTGCTACTATTCTGTTTCTTGATCTGGCTGATGGTTACATAAATGTGTCATTTAGAGAATTTCACTGAGTTTTATACCTTTATTTTGTGTACTTTTACACTATATATGTCAAATTTGAATTTAAAAATTACATCAAAAAGGAATACTTTATCCCAAGCTGTCATTCTGCTATTTGTAATTTAGCACTACTTTCTCTTTTTCAAAAGATAGGATTAATTTGCTTCATAAAGAAAGTAAACAAGGAGCACCTGGTTGGTTCAGTCAGTTAAACGTCCACCTTCTGCTCAGGTCATGATCTCAGGGTTATGAGATTTAGCCCTGCATTGGCCTTCATCCTTAACAGGGAGTTTGCTTGAGATTCTCTCTCTCCCTCTACCTCTACTCCTCCCCTACTTAAGTTCGTGTGCATGCATTTTCTCTCTCAAATATATAGTCTTTTTCTTTTTTTTAAGATTTTATTTATTTATTTGGCAGAGATCACAAGTAGGCAGAGAGGCAGGCAGAGAGAGAGAGAGAGGGAAGCAGGCTCCCTGGAGAGCAGAGAGCCCGATGTGGGGCTTGATCCCAGAACCCTGGGATCATGACCTGAGCTGAAGGCAGAGTCTTAACCCACTGAGCCACCCAGGTGCCCCAAATAAATAAATAGTCTTAAAGAAAAGGAAAGCAAACAATATTTCTACATAACATTGTAAAGTTACTCTTTTCCTAAATATGTTTTAAAAGTCATATTTATTGAGATATAAATCATAGACACCAAAATTCATCCTTTTAATTTACTGAACCATGATACTTGACAAGCACATACATTTGTGTACCCATCACCACTGTCAAGATATAGAATAATTCCATCAGTGCCCCAAATTCCCTCATGTCCATTGCAACACTGCCACTAGCAACACTGACGAATTTCCTGTTTCTACAGTTTTGCCTTTTTCAGAATGCTATACAAGTGGAATCATATGGTATGTATTCCTTCAAGTCAGTTTCTTTCACTTAGCATAATGCATTTGAGATCCATCCATGTTTTGCATATGTCATTGGTTTCTTTCTTTCTATTGCTGAATAGCATTATACTTTGGCTATATGTGATATAGCTTTGGCTATATCACAACCGAAGAACATTGGATAGTTTCTAGGTTTGGTGATTTTGAATAAAGATGGTATAAACATTCATGCATAGGTTTTTGTATGAATCTGAGTGATAGATTTTGTTTTTTCTTAATTCCAAATTGTACTTTCAACTGCACAAAGTATTTCCTATAGTGCCTTTAGTCTATGGTAATTCTGATGCCTAGAGAATATACCAACCAGCTCAAAATAATATTAAATCAGAAAATGAATCAAATTAAACAAGAAACAGCTTACAAAAATAGATCAACTTTCACAAATTCCTCTCTTAAAAATATTTCTTTTGCAGTAATCACAAAATTAATAAGAAATGTTCTATTAAAATTCTAGATTAGTAAATCAAAATCCTATTTAAATTGTATAAAGTTAAAATTCAAAGACACTACTGATTTGGATTCTAAAAGTATAACAAATAAAGAAAAGGGGGTTAAGGAATGTGGTTTGAAAAGTAGCATTGTATGCTTATTTCATAACTCCCTAATTTAACATATTATAAATTTCACCCAACCGGTTAGTATTTTTTATCCATGATAATTTGGAAAGGATTTGAGTGACAAAATGGAAACATGGTGGATGTTACCTAGCATGTTGTGGTAAAGTGGAATGGCCCGTCCAAGGATAATAAATGCAGTCATGACTAGTGGGACCGCTACACCTGCAGGCAATTACAGAACAGAAAACATCATTCTCCATTCACAGTGGCATGCACACACATGCACCAGTGCTCACACAAGGAGCCTTGGAGGAAGAACATGGGAAGCAAGCACACCAAGTACCTATCCATCAGGCCGATGCAGTCTTCAATACTTGAGCCTATGCACCTGCAGAAGATCCAAATTTAAAAAATACAAGGAAAGAAAAATTAGTCATTTTTGAAAAAAGAATCACTAAGATAAACCTAATTGTTTCAAATTCTTAATAATGGTTTTTAGACAATTTTGGAACACTCTGAATTTAAAGCCAGTGAGAAGATTATTGCTTGATGGATACAGAGAAGTAAGTTGCCAATACCACCTAATGGAATGCAAAGAAACATGTCCACAGTAAAGAAAATTGTACCCTGTTTCTGTGGATAACTTCCAAACCCATATAACTCACTTCTAATACCTTTAATTCATTTGCATCATTCATGAGTATATGTCTTGCTAAATAACTTGATATTTCAAAAGCTATAATTGGTTTCATGTATACAGCTTCTTCCTAAAAGGACTTAAGCTTAAGTAAAACTAAAATCAATAAAAAAGGAAACATGAGCTATTCAGTATAATATAATAACCTGATGTTAATGCTCATTAAAGATTGATTATGGCAGAAAATGAGTTAATATGTTTTAATGCTATTCTTATGGATACTTTACATAATCACATTATTCCATTCCTTGGTTGTGACTGTTTTTAAAACATATTTATCTGTAAACATGAATTCATTTAAAAAGCAAATTAACTGGTTACACCACATTCCAGTTTATCTTGACACTCTCTTTTTAAAAGAGCAGACAAACAGAAATAGGTTTTTAAACTGCCATCATATTTAACTGAAACAATAACAAATAAATAAATACTCTCCAAGGAAATGAATACACTAAGAACCAGGTCAGTAAAGAATTTACTGAGATCAACATTTAAGTGGAATCATAAAAGTACACAAAATCCTAATGTACAGTCCCTAGAATTGCATTTTGAAGTATTATGGAAATATTACTTCTCCCATCTTCCAATGGACTTAAATCGGATTTCTTTCCCTTCTCTCTCATCAAATACATGTAGCTCCAGTGCATTATCAAGATTCCCTCTACAACTATGATTTATAGAACTGTCTCATTCTGCTGATCACAATTTTTTTCCCAAACTCTAGTTCTAAAACTGAAAAAGAAGCTGAAGTTAAAATCACCATATAATGAAATAATAAGATGCTTGTGTATAAGGCCAGACTGCCCATTATATCTTTAGATAACTCTTAACATTGGTGAACTAATATAACTATGTATAATAATAATTAAGTCACTGTTTCCTTGCTTCACGAAGATCTGCTATAACATTAGTACTAGTAGAAAGATGTTTTCTTTTTGAGGATGGGTTTTGAACTCGCCAGAAAAAAAAATTCAATATACAGAAATATAGAGAACACACCATGAAAAAAGTATTTTAAAAAAGCAAGTGGGAAATAAAAATAAAAATTTATAGCACATAGCATTGAATTAATATTATAATCCATAACCAAAACCATTTTTTAAATGGAAAAAGTAACTACTATAAAATATTTCCAAATTGTCTTATATTGTTTTCTATTTATTTTATTCTGAAGAACTTATTTTTTCTAGGTCCCAAATATATCTTCTTCAAAATGCTTTTTTATACAGTATTGCTATTTTGTAATATTAATAGTCTGCTTCTTATTTCCAAGTAGATATACACTGAAAAGCTATGATTAGTTTGCAGTCTGTGTGTTTATAATAAACTTTGAAAGATAAAATATTTGAAAGTGAAATTCAACTTGAGGGGAAAGTGTGAATAATGAAAGATCTTTATTCATCCATTAAAAAAAAATAACCGTTTGCATGCCTACTAAGTGTTGCTACTCTTCTAGGAGCTGGAGGGGAAAAAAAAAGATGAATTAGACAGTTTTCCTGCTCTTAATGAGCTCATAATTTAATGAAGGAGACAGATGCATAACCAGATGTATATTATATAATGTGATAAATATAATAAGAGACATGAAAGAGTGGCTTAAGGGAGCATAGCAGAGGGATGCTTGGCTTCAGAAATTCGTGGTAATCCTCATGGAGAAGACAGGATGTTGAAGTTCAGGGTGCTGAGAACCAGAGTTAGAATAGCAGTGATTTCTAAGGGGTAAGGAACAGCAGGAATAAAAGCATATATCTGAGGCAATGTAGAGTGCACATAATTCTGAATAGTCAGGGAGCAAAACATGAGGCAACAGGGAGAGGTAAAAGAAGCGAGATCATTAGACCGGAGTCAGAATTTGAAGGCAATTTGCTTTAGGGGCAAACTTAATGGAGAACCGCTGCAGGGTTTTAAAGAAGTAATGGATTTACTGCACTTGTGTTTTACATGGACCTCTGCCCTGTGAAGGCTAGTCAGGTGGGATCAGGTAGATTGCTCTGGCACAGAGACTGTTTTAGTCTATGTAAGATGAAAAAAGATTAAACTTGGGAAATGGCAACTAGGACAGAGGTGGGGGGGGCAGATTCAAGAAATAACCTTGAAAACTATAGAGGGAAAAAGAGAAGCTGATGGCTGATCTGATGATAGAAGAGGAAGAGTCAGAGGAATTAAACATGACTCAAATGTCCATCTATGAGAGTAGTAATACCATCAGAGAGAGAAGCCAAGAGGAGGAACAACTTTCTGTGTGTGTGTGTGTGTGTGTGTGTGCACGCGCGTGTGCGCACATGTGTGTTGGAGGAAGAGGGGTTGATAATTTCAGTTTTATGTATCTAGTGTGGTTGTCCTGCCTTTGGGTAAGAAATGTTCCTTGCCAACTGGAAAGAGGGGTCTGTGGTGGTGGGGCAATGATCAGTGGTGATAAAGATAGCTGAAGAAAGATCTATAAAGTGAGAAAAGAGGAGCCGAGACTGAAACCCAAGGAACTCCAATAATCCATAAATGACCCAAGATAACCACCTATGCCAAAAGCATGAGAAAATATAATTGAGTATGAAATCAGATAATTGCAGCATTGTGGGAGCCAAATCATGAGAGACTTCAGGAAATGGGGTAATTGTCAACGTTAAATGCAAAGAGAGGTCTCATCAAATAAGAACCACTAAGAGCATTTTAGTTGTCATTGTTGAGGTCACCAGAATTCCGGCTGCTGTGAGTCAAGAAACAAATCGGACATAAGAGAATAGAGGCAAGGGAAAAGGGAGGTGAGTACTGAGGGGGCAGGATGTAGGGTCAGGAAAGTTCGTTGAGTGGATTGTGTAGGATATTTGAGATTTAAACATATTTACAAGCTGAAGATGAAAGAAAAAATGGAAGACAAAGAATAAGGGTAAGGCTGAAGCGGCCCCATCTTTTCTAAATACAAGTATCTATTTAAAGATGTGTACTCTATTTCAACTATTTTGACTTTATTTAGAGCTTTATTAACTATCACTTGCAATTTATATTGGTTCAGCAAGATCACAGAATAATGGAAACATTAAACTTTTGAAGAGTCAAAATCCGAAATATGAGATCAAAAGAGGATAAGGAATATGCAACACTCTACAAAATCAGTGGTACAAAGTAAAAACTTTACAGGAAAATCAGAAACCGTAACATGTCAATAAAAATATCTGGAATTCTGAACACCAAGATGTGTTGAACATTTGCCACTATTTACTGATTTATAAGTGCTTTGATGTACTCATATATCTAACATAGTTGAGATATTTTAACAAAATCTTATTTCTTTGGAATTTTGAAATGGAGGAATATTTTAAAATTTTGGAATGGAGGAATATTTAAAATTTCAATTAAAAGAGTTTAGACAAAAATTTCACTCTTCTTTCCTTCTATTAGTGAAAAATTTTTCAGTATATAAATTAAAAAATATAAAAAGGGTTGATAAGAAAGAAGGCATATAAGGAATTTAATAATATGAAACCATGATTCTAATATTAACAAACATATTCAATGCAAATTTTCAAAGATACCTAATGAAAAATAAATTTCCCAGTCCAAAACCAAAGTTAAATTGGTATTTACCACAGACTCAATGATGTTAGTGTAGAAAATGTAGCAATTGCCATTACAGAAATTAAATTACCTACTAAATTTAGTTCACAAGTCTTTTTAAAAAATTTCTATCTTGCTAATTTCAAATATGAAGATCATTCTTAAGTTTTAAATGCTTGCTCATCATTTTAAAATATGGGGAAGTGTCTCCGATGTTAAAATACGAATTGTAAGATAGAAAACTCACTGAACCATGATTCACTAGTGGTCAAGAGCTGTGTCTTACTCATTTCTGAACTTAGCTATCACTATATCTCATACATAAGAGGTGTTCAATATAACCAAGCTGAAGAATGAAATCAGAAAAGGCTGCCAAAATAAAAGTCCTCTAGGTAAGGAAGGGAAGAGACATTGTTAGCTGATTCCCCACCCCCTGACCACCACCTCTTTAGTGGTATTAATGAGAATATCCTGATAGGTAAGAAATGGATAACCTATTTTAAAGTAACTAAAGCACTTATTAGAGCCAATATATTTAATGTACTTTCAAAGTAATAAAAGTGCTTTTAAGGTATTACACACATAATTTTATTTTCAGAAAATCATTGAATAGTACTCAAAGTAAGAACTTTCCTTCTTAAAAAAAATGTGACTTAAGAGACTATTTCCATTAACATCGTTCTTGAATTATCCAGCTGACATAATATCGACATATAAAAGAAAATCTGTTTTCCAAAATTGGCATGGTGAGCTCACACTCATCCATAGGTCAATTAGTACATATGTTTAGGATTAAAAATAGTCATTTGTTACATCATCTTCATTGTCCCTTTGATCTTTCTAGGGAAAGATCTTATCTCTACATGCAATTTGAAGAGAAGGGACTATTTTCACAGAACACCTCATTGCTTCACTAAAGGATTTCAAGGCACAGTGGTGGACAGCAGTAGTGTAGAGTGGGATTCAGGAATTTAGGATTTCTGGGGTTGGGACCACAAAACTTTCATGAAGTGAGTGAACTTGGACAATATGGAGGATATTAGGAAAAGGATGGCAGGAGGCTAAATGAAAACAAATACAAGAGTCTTCAGGGCTAAATCAGTCATCCCAGAATCCATTTACCTTGGAAGATACCAGGGAATATAACATTCAAATTCTGTTTCACCATCATTCTGCAACAGTTGATTCAAAGACATTTTGGAGTTCCTAAATGATCTGGTCGGATTTGTTCCCTTTATACCTTCATCCTCCCTTTTTAGCTGACATTTGGTTTTTGTTGCTGTGGTAAATTGATCTCTTCATTGTCCCGACTTCTACATTCCCCCACTATATATATGTTCTTTTATTACATAATCATGATTTCAAAGGGCTGAGAGGAAGACACACCAGCCATACACCCAGACTATGGCTCTGTGATCTCACTTTCATTTCCCTAATGGCTTCCTTGTAATTAGATTTGCAAAAATAGCAAAAGGTCTCATTTTGAATGGCAACAGCTGTTGACATCAACATTATATTGAATAATTTACTGGTTTAATTTTAGCTGCAAAACAATAAAACCCTCCTGTGGATGAGTATTTTAACAGGCAAAGTTTTCTCTTTCTGTTGCTGACTCTTCTGCTCCAGGGGTGCCAGTTGTTTCTTCATGAAATACCCTTAACCCAAGTGTACCAAAAACTCGCAAGGGGAGAAGTTTATTCCTTCTAGTTTCCTTGAAGCAAAGTGTCTATGTGACTATTTCAGTATCCTCAGTCGATGCACGTATGTGTAAACCAATGAGCTGGCATTAGCTCTTCCAAGCTGCATTTGAATTTGAATGACAGAATATTACTTTACCTTTTGAGGACCTGCCACTTCACAGAGTGACTTAAGCTGATTTCTTGACCTGTAGGAAATTGTAGCAGCATCTGCAAATTGATGTCCTCTTGGCAGAAAATGATGTTGCTTGCTTAACTTCTTCAATATCCCCTAGCAGCTAGCTCTTAATCTGGCAGCAAAGTATGAGATTCCATAAAGAGATTTTCTGCCAGATATAAAGTACCCGAGATGATTCTCAACAACCAGTGTCTGTATCTGTATGTGGGTGTGTGCACTTGTGTGTGGGCACTTATAAGGGAGAAGAGGATTTATGGACAGAAGGAGAATAGAGTACGTTAAATTGTCCTCAAGTCTGAAATTAGTCACGTTCTGGAGGAAAGAAAAAGAAAAGCCCTTACTAAAATAGATTTGCTGTCTTTTAAAAAATTAGGTGTTGGAATATGTTAGATGAGTCACATTATTTCTTTCAGTTCAGTGCTTTTCTTCTTTCTGTAATATGTCTTTGTTTTTCAACTGCTATCAGTATCAAAGGTAACCTAATTATTATTCATTTTATAATGCATCCTTTTGAAACAACAGAAAACTATGTACCCATCTTTGAGTTGTCCTATAATGGTCAAAGAAATTCTAAATTATAGGTTAACCTGCCATAAAATTACTTTCCCAAAATGTATTTGTGATTTTATTGATACACATATCACTAAGTTCTCCCCACGCACATACACCTTTTTTATCCTGTTATCATTATTTTGCATATATTTTGTTGAAGGAGTAATTCAAGGCAGTATTTAGCAAAGAGAGCTTTCCTCACCTTCAGCTGGTTATAAGAACAAAGAAACATAAACAGGAAGTTTCTGCTAAAGATATATGAAGCACAAATCTCAAAAGTCTGATGACTATCTTGTCTTTTCTAAGATATCTTCAAAACCAAGTAAAATTTGGAAGAATTTCCACACTCCATACAAAGTATACTTGCCATCAGCTGCATAAAGGTGTCAACAAAATGCATTTAGCTAAGTGTTTAACAGAAATATCTGAAAGGGTATACATTTGATTGCATAAACCATTTTCTTAGAAGGTATTCCTCTTTAAATCATATTTACATATTATCATAAAACATATTAACATATAGTTGAATAGAGTAATATAAGGAAATAGTATATATTTAGTAGACTGTGTCAAGGGTAAAGATACTGTGTGATGAAGTCCTTGGTCAGCAAGGATGCTTACCCTTGGGTGCAGTTTGGATGACATGGGTGACACTCCCGATCCTGATCAGCATACTTGAAAATGAAACTGTTTGTCCCCTGTAAACCATCTGGACATTTTTCCACACAGTTCGGGCCATCCTTAAAATGAGAGCACTTTGTGCAGTTGTCAGGTCCCTGAAGTGTGAAAAACAAAACAATGGAGGAAGAAAAATGGATCTTGTTTCCTCTAGTGCTCATGTGGTTTAGTTCCTGAGACTTCAGTGAGTGGTCAATCTTCCCCTATGGAACCGGAGAGCGTTTCCGAAACTACAAATGGGGATGTCACTATTGCAGCATTTCAAAGTAAAAGTGAGATGTAAACTTTCCTTTGGTTGTCTATGATTATTTGAACAACGAATTTTAAAATGTACTGTGGTTGAATTATTAGTAATTAGTTCAGGCAAATAAATTTCATCTCAAATCAGCTTGTGATAATGCTAAAACTCGCATGTCTATTTATAGGGATTTTAGTAAATCACAGTTCAATACTGAGAGCACAATAAAGACACATTCTGATGAACGAATATCAAAAGCCCAAAATAATGAAGTAGGTGCATGCCAAAGAAAATTATCTGGAGAAACTTATCCAATAATAAAGGTGATAAAAATAAGAGCATAATAAATTTAAATAGAACTAACTACTTTGTATATTTATGTTGATAATATACAATTATTTTCTAATATGCAGAATGGTAATAAGCAATAATAATATACAAATATGTTTAAATGTCATTTAAAAAGTAAAATTTAAAACTCATATTAAACATAAAAGAATTTTATGGGGTGCCTGGGTGGCTCAGTGGGTTAAAGCCTCTGCCTTCAACTCAGGTCATGATCCCAGGGTCCTAGGATTGAGCCCCGCATCAGGCTCTCTGCTTAGCAGGAAGCCTGCTTCTCCCTCTCTCTCTCTGCGAGTTTTTCTGCCTACTTGTGATCTCTGTCTGTCAAATAAATAAATAAAATATTTTTAAAAAATAAAAATAAATAAACATTAAAGAATTAAAAAAAATGAATTTGGATTTGGTGTTGAGGATAGTAAGCACGAAAGAAATGTTAAGTAGTCTACCACCAAATCAAAGAAAATTGAGAATATTTTGATTAAAAATGCTATTTTCTTAAAAGATGCCAATATAGGGGCACCTGGCTGGCTCAGTGGGTTAAGCCTCTGCCTTTGGCTCAGGTCATGATCTCAGGGTCCTGGGATCGAGCCCCACATCGAGCTCTCTGCTCAGTGGGGAGCCTGCTTCCCCCTCTCTCTCTGCCTGCCTCTCTGCCTACTTGTGATCTCTGTCTGTCTCTGTCAAATAAATAAATAAAATCTTTTTTTAAAAAGATGCCAATATATTTATATATTTAGCTATTTTAAATAATGATATTACCTACTTAAAGTTCACTTTAAGTTGGTAAGTTTAAGTTGGTTTAAGTTTAAGTTGGTTTAAGTAAATATTAAGTAAATATTGACTTTAAGTTGGTTCTCCCTTTAAAACATCATATTGTCTTAGGGTCCTCTTTTCTTTGACTACTTTCTGGAACTTCTTCCCCAAAAGCTGTATGTCCATATTGCTAGACAATTATGATAGTTCACATTAAACACAATTTAGATAAATAAGTTACAGTAAGTACAGAGGGAGATAATTAATTTTATTAGGTTTATAATTATAAATTGTGAATTTGGGAGTCAACAATAACCAAATATTTCACAGAGCTATGTTTTAGGCAGGGAGCGTCCACTCACAAGAGTCTCTCTACAAATGTTAATCCAAAAGCAGTCAGACATTGCAAGTTGGTGATAAAAGACATCAGGAAATAAATAAATATATTTTAAAATTTAAAGATTGAGGTTGCTAATGAAGAACAGTGGCATAAAGAAGAAAAAATAATCAGGAGGAGGTTTCAGGAAACTCTGGGACTGGTGAGGTTCAATCAGGCACCTATTTCACTATTTTGATGTGAGACTTAGAGCTAAAAGAAAATTATCCTATGAAACCTAATCCCCATTTAACCTGAAGAGTTTGCTATTGGTAACTTCTTATTTCCTACCAAAAAAGAACACTTTACACGCTTCCAATTTTAACATCTGCTCATGGGTACTTAGGCATGTGATGCCATCTACTATACAAAATCATTTACCGTGCAAGTATGCTCGGTGGCATGACTTATTGTACAATACAAGGGACATGCTGATGTCTTCTTACAAAACACAAGAATAAAAACCAACTATGAGTAAATTAGGCAGTTATAGTCAAAATTAGAAATTAGGCATTATTTTTCTATAAAAATTTTCTGATGTAAAATAATATCCAGGTAAAATCAGAAGACACAAAATACTATGAAACTAAAATTAAAATCACACTTAATGTTCAAGTATACTTCAAAAATATGTTTTATATGTTCCCTTGTTTTTAAGCATCTCTTACCTATTTGATTGTATTAACACGATACAAAACGTAATGTTCTAAGTTGACATAACTAAAAAATGTCCCAATAAATCCCAAAAGAAATGAAATGTAAAGATTCTCCAACTCATTTCCATAATAAATAGATTTAAAGAAATATGTGTGTCTAATGCTTACTCTTCTATCATTATATTCCCAAAGCTTTTAAGAATCTAAGTTCAGTGAATGAACCGATAAATACAATGATTAAAAACCAGAGGTGAAGGCAATATTGTTCCTTATCTCTGATTTTAAGCTACCCTTGGACTCACTTAGGTACCCAGAAAGCTAAAGGATAAGCTAAATCTTGATAGAAATATTACATTTTTTTCCCTCAGTGACAATTGATGATTTTCTTTGGTAACTACTGTGAGAGACAATGCTACTATTCACCAGGGTTCAGTTCTCTTCCACTTCTAGCTACATGGAAGACTGAAATTCTTCTCCCACCAGAAGTGAGGTATGTCTTGTTTTAGACAATGAAATTACATAGAAGCGATTTATGAGACTGCCAGGGCTAACCTCTCCAGCCTTCTCTTTCCCTGTTGCCATGATGCAGGGATCCTATGCAGACATGGAAATCCCATAAATATAAAAGCATCTCAGAACACTAGACCATCACAAGGAGGAGGGCTGATCTGTAGTACACTTTACATGAAAAAGATTTAAACATGTTCCTATAACCTACTGTAATATGGGGTTATTAGTTATAGCAGCACAACCTTTACTAACTTGACTTTAACAACTATTTCAGCTTTTATCATTCTCTTCCTCAATCTCTTTTTTCGTATGCTGCCTCTTTGGCTTATATTCTCATCTTCTAAAACTCTGTCAGATTTTCCTTACTTGTCTTTCTTCTCACATGTCTTTTCTTATCTTTCATGATAGGAACACACACAGGAGTAGAGAAAGTAAGGCAGAAAGGATAAAGTTGTAAAATAAAAATAAAATAAAATGGTAATATAATAAAATAAAATAAAATAAAATAAAAATACCAAGTACAGGCATACAAGGATATAAAATCAGGGGCTTGCTTTCTTTCAAAGCTAGCCCTCCCAAGATTATCCTAGATTTCAGTCACACTGCGATAGTATAATACCATCCCATTTTACATGTGGCTGTTAGGTTCCCAGAAAACAGTATCCTAATTATTCACAGAATTGTTGCCTATGGGGGCAGAGGAGGGAGAAAGTGAAATGAATAGAATGTAAAATTTGGAGGCACTTCTATATTTGAGTCCCAGTTCCACAGCATATACATTGTTGACTTTTTGATGTAACTTTCTAATTATTATAGGTTCAGTTTCTTTATATTTTAAATGGAAAAAGTGATAGTATGCTTCAGATGTAACAGCATTTGACAAATATGCATGTGTATCAATTATTCTTAGGGAAATATGGACAGCTCAGGAAAGTGTGAGTCCAACATACTAAGTCATAAGACCAGGTATGGGAATCCCAACCAGCTTTATGACTTTTCCCCTGTCTCATCACATTTTCACCCTCACAGAAAACTTTCCAGAACTTCTTAGGTATCTCAAATGATAAATGCCTGTTATATGGCACACAAAAGCACTTGTGTCTCTAATTGTGATAATCAGTATGGAACCCAGATATAGGCAAAAACCTAACATAAATTGTAAAAACTGAAAGCCAAGCAACCTCCTAGTGAAAGCAGTTTGGGCTACTGTTTGAGCTCGGTCCTGCCTGTTTCTCAGACATCATAACCTAAAATTGTGTTCTTACCTGCTTAGCATTTCAAAGTTTACTGATCTAGTGACAAATAGGCTTTCTTGATTCTGTGTTCTGATCTTCCACAAATGAATGATTAGGTTTTACTAAACCTTTCCTACTTTTGACTTACTGCCTTTCTGAAGCTCTACACATATTAATTGACAGTGTTAACCTTGGGTGGTAATTCTAGGTAGATTGTTGGCTCGACAATGCTGTCATTAAAAAATCAAAATGTGTTCATTAAAAATCTGTTTCTCCATTCTTTCTTAGTTAGCAAATAATTTTGAAAATTGATTAAAAAACATTAACTATTAGGGTTTTTAATGTGTAGTTTATAAACTGTCTCAATCTTTTGAGTAACAAAAGAATGAATAAATGCACTGTGAAAACATACAAATTTAAATAAATTAATAAATTAAGTATTTACCAGCATCATTTATACCATAGGAGGCAACATGAGGAATAGAAAAAGCACAGGACTGGTTTTGCAGTCTGCCTTGTGATTATAATTGCGCATTTTCTAAAGTCTCAGTCTCTCTGAAAGATACATTGCTTTCTATTCCTTGACTTTGGTACCTAAATATGTTAGTGTTTAAAGAAGTCTTATATAGATTACTTGATTTGCTTTAACACAACCCATTTCAGATTTTTACTTCCCTGTGTTTCATGTCATTTTTTCCAGCATCCACATTTCTCATGCTGCAGATTAATTGTACTTTCCATTAATATCCTTAGTGGGGACAGAAAATAGCCGAATACACCCTTTGCATACTTACTTGGAGATCATTTACATATAAAATTGTCTTTTAGACTTTGGTTCTTCAGGCCAAATCACACCACTTCTTTTTCTCAGAGGTCTGATTTTCCAAGCTTAATCATCCTTGTGGTAGTCCTCTGAACTGTCCAAGTTTTCCACATCCTTCTTTAGATGAAGTTCCACAACAGCTCATTGGGGCCTAATGGAAGTTTGGAGGCTCAATGATATTTTTTTTCCTAAGCTAATTAAGTGCTGAATAAGCACTCTGGTAGAAAAATTAGTACAATATAAATTGCATATAAACTCTTATGGAGTAATGCTAAGCTCTTAGCTACACCCAAATGTTGGTCCCCAAATAATCTACTGAGAAATGAGTCAATACATAAAAAACTGGAAATTTGTCTAAAGAAGGATGAATATGACACTTTGGAATGACAAAGTCATATTGATTTCATTATTGGGAAAAAGCCTGAATGATGGGAACCAAAGGGAGGTCTAAAAAAGAATTACCATTTTCTCTATATGGCTAGCTTCAAACATGTAAATGCCAACTTATCCATTAAGACTTTCCTGATCCCACAGCCTCTCTTCCATTCTCATGGCTCTGTTTTTCTCTCTGCTATAGTATTTATCACACTGTTTAAGATTTTAGTTTATAAATGTTTGCCTTCTCACTTCTATCCTTCACAAAATCCTTCACAATGCCATAACAGTTAAATAATTAAACACAGAAATGAATGTGTTATAGTTTACCTTAAACACCATGAATTTTTACATTTGCATATCTTTGCATGTTTCCTCTTTCCAGATTCTTCTTCTTCATAGCATAGCTCAAACATCACTTCTCTATGGCTTTCCTTGATGCCCTACTTTCTATCCCAAAGACAGATTAATTTATCTCTCATTTGTGTTCCTATAACAATTTAAACATATTTATATCTTATCAATTATTTTGGTTCAATCTAATTACTAATGAAGTTCTCTTTTCTTTTCAACACTGCAATTTTCAAGGGCATATCCATATCCACTTTTAAAATACATTATCTAGGATATAAATACTTAAGAAATTGAATTTGTAAATATTTCATATCTACTACTTAACTATAAGCCTCTTGAGGGAAGAATACCAAACACGATTTCCCCTTGCATGCTATAAACACCTGTTGAATGGATGGATAAATGATAAAGCCATGACATAACATGCACACATGAAGCTAAGAAAGCCAACACAACCACAGATGTCTTCAAGCTTACCGGTCCATGGCAGGTGAGGATGCCGTCTTCCATCTTCTCACACTGGGGGTCACACTCCACACAGATGGAGCCATTCTCAAACTCTCGAAATTCCCTGTGAAAACATCAGCTGCGTGAGGCGGTATAAGCAAACCAGCTGTCAACTTAACAAATGAAGTAACATCTGCTAAAAGCCCTATTGGCAGAGTACATTCTAGAGTCTGTTTCTCTATGTGCCAGGAGCATCAGACTCATTTCCCTGTGCATTAAGGAATAAGTCCTCCATTAGGAGAAAAGATAAACTGCAACCAGATGGCTCTCCTTGCCCTCCACTGGGTTCAACGATAGACTCATTCAGAAAACCTCTCTCTTGCAAGAGATATTCTAGCAGTCTTTAAAAGAAAGAAGGAAAGAAAGAAAGAAAGAAAGAAAGAAAGAAAGAAAGAAAGAAAGGGAATGAATCCTCTGATGACACAACAGAATCATTTTTACCTTTTTTAAAGTAAAGCTGTGCCTGTTTGTCTCTATATAAAATTTTACTCTCAGTTGAGCTTTATTTTTTAAACTCTGAAAGAACTATTGTATTTTTCTTGTTGCTAAGTTACATGATATTCCCCATCCCTGTCCTTCAAATCCCAGGACTCTTCAATTTATTTTTGGTGAAACTTCAAAAAATGCTTTGATTTCTTTTCTTCTTTTAAAATAGCTGCCTTGGAGAATTAGAGAAAATATCTTTTTATGGCAGATTTTATATTCTTAGATTATTGATCTAATATCACAACATCTTTTTCAGTTTAAGATCTTTTTGAAGTAATTCTATACAGTATAAAAAAAATAGCTAAATGATAACATTCTAAAACTCTCTAATTAAAACCTAGGATGATGGTTATCCCTTCCCACAACCTTACATATTGTGGCTATATGAATATTAAATGTTATCAATAGTAAGTTTCCTAATCAATATCTACTATAAAATTTCCATTTCAATAATTGGGTATCACTTAGGTACAATATGTTTAAATACCTCATTCCCAATAATGTATAAGAGGATGAAGCACAGGGTAAAGATAATTTTAGAAGGCCAGTTATAAGTCATCAATAAAACTTGACTAAATATTTATAGCTTCTGATTATTGTGTGTCTGTATAACATGAGCTATCACTCTAAACTTAAAGCATTGCATATATGATAATTATAGATTAATTAGGTGATAAATTTAAATTTACTTGTCCCTAGAGTGAAGTGTTCACTTATTTTCATAGTGAATTATCCTATTTGGTTATCGTAAAGCCTTAATAAATGATAGAAATCCAAAAGGTGGGTTATTTTTCTGTTGGTTAAATTAAAACTACACATACACTAAGGCAAGATAATTAAGTTTGGGTTTTCAAAATAAATAGCACAAATTGATGGTTTAGTTAGGTATCAATGCACGTATTTATTTACATGGATTTTGCATTTTTAAAGTGAGGTGTAGGTTTGTGATAGATTAAGCTTCTTAAAATTTTCTTGAGTTTAAAAACTCAATTACATAGAAACAGATTTTCTTTTGCAATGTTTTATCAACATGGATTATATACATGGCTTGACAGAGGGAATCTTCAGAATAAAAAGGTCAAAATGACCTGATATGTGGGAAGAGGGTCATATATGTGGGATGGCAGGTCAATTGTGAAGAGATTCAAAAGTATCATTTCTATAATGAAATTATAAAATACAGCAAAACCTGCAATCATCAGCAAATTATTTTTTTGTTGTTTGTTTGTTTTTTGAGTATAGTTTCTGGGATTGCTAAAGGGTTACGTTACTGAATGAAGGTCATAATATTTGTGGTACTAAAACATTGGTCATGCTTTTCTTTCTCTTCTTGAAAACCCCTTCCCTACAAACAGAGTTGAGGAATAAAGTGATTATGTCATAAAAAGTCTTGGAGATACAGCGTACCTGTCTTTTCTTCTATAGACTAGACTTCTATTTGTATAGCTTTGGGCTCCCTTCCTTTCTGCTCTCAAAACTGATCCTTATGATTTTTATTAGTTTTGCTCTTCATTGTCAGTGTCTCCCTCATTGCTTTTTCTTCCCTGTTTCCTATTGATTATACTACGACTTTGCCAGAGATCCCCTCTCACTGAGTTTGACCTAACAAATAACTGTCTACTGAGCTGAGTTTTACATATGGAGCTTTCTGTCACGTTTCACTACTCTGCATTTCCCACAGTCCTGCTGTGTGTGTTACCTCAGCCAATCCTGTGATTCAGAGTAAATGCTCTGGAGTCAAGTCCTTACCAAATCTGACCGGTGTTCTCAACACCAACACTAATACTTCTAGGCCTGAAGTCCCTTAACATCTCTAGACTTCCTTTTGTAAATATCCTTTGTAAAAGGGAAAAAAAAATTGTATTTCAGTGAGAGGTGTGATTACTAAATATAAAAACGCCTACAAAGAGTCTAGATCGGCACTCTTTCTGATGTTTCTATGTTGTGCTTAAAGTTGTAAAAGCGTTTGACCACGTTGCCAAGTAAGACAGTTTTAAGATTGCGTTGCAACTTTTCTCTTTCATTCTAGATGCTTGTGACTGTAGTTAAGGGTTGCTAAATACAGTGGCTTCTATGACCTGGATTTGAATGCTAACAGCCAGGAAATGACTGATTGCCTTTTCCTCTTCAAAAAGTCCTCCTTTGGGGATTTCTTTTCATATAAAAATTATAAAAATATAGGTGCCCTGATTTTGGTAACTGTCTTATTTGTATTTGTTTTCTGCATTTTTAAGGTGACTATTTTACCTAACCATCTAATCAGATTAGATTAATAGACACAAAAAGAATATTATAATCATCTTAGTGGTAAAATTTTTTAACAAGCCTTTATTATGCATTTTCTCATTTAATAACTATAGTTATCCTATGAATTTGACACCATTATTTTTCCCATTTTCCATATAAGAAAACTAAGTTTAGAACAATTGGGTTTTTTATCCAAGATTTAAAATGATGGAGTAATAAGGTTAGGATTAATTCATTATTCCTCAAAGGCTGTTTCAACTGCGGGGCAATGTTGGAAAAAAGTAGTCGGTACCACAAGATTGGAGGTGGGAAAATCTATCATTGCATAGGCTAGAATTACATCAGAGTTTTACATGGTAGTTTCATTTATTATCTTTCAAACTAACCCTTGAACACGATTTCCTAGAGCCTTACTGCTACTGCAAAAGACATTAAAAACTTCATATATTTTTAGTACATTTGATCTAATGACTTGGAAAAAGTTAAACTTTTAAAAACAGTTTGGTAGTCAGTGTTGTTTAATTAGAAAACAGGTATTTTTCCTTTGCTTCGCTTTTATTATTTTGCAGATGTGAGACAGAGGATGGTATATGCATCCACGTTTTTATCCAGTTCACATTTATGAGAAGGTTAAAACTGAAATATTAAGAGAAAATAACAGTATCCGGAAAAGTAGCAGGATGGAAATCAGATGCGCTGAATTCTAGTGTTGGCTTGACTCTTGAAATGGCACGGGCCAACATTTCATTCTTCCGGTTTTCATTGTTTATAAGATGTTGCTGTTAGAGAAGTTGGTTTCTGGAGCTTGATCCCTCTTTAGAATTGCTTATTTTTAGGAGGGCATGTGTTGTGATGAGCACTGGGTGTTGATATGCAAATAATGAGTCACTGAACACTACATCAGTACTAACGATGTACTTTAGCCACTTAGAGGTCATTTAAATAACAAAATAGTGTACCCAAAAAGACATGTTGGAAGAGAGCTTATAAAAGACATTGTAAAAGACATCTTTAAAAATAATTTTAAAACAATAGACATTTGAATCTGTAAAAAAATAAAATGAGGTAAAAGAAGAAACGAAGTAAAGAACCTCAAAACTACACTTTTACAGAACTGTTGAAAATCCTTTCAGTAGCAATATAAGAAAATGTGACTCAGGAACGGTACTAAAAAATGTATTATCACACTAATGAAGGACAACTGTGATGCATGAAATGGTATGTTATGATAAACTGATTTTATGAGTACATGAAATGCCATGCAACAAGATATATTCTAGGCTTTACCGTTGGCAATGTGATTATTATAGCACCAGAAGGAATTTAAAATTCTTGATTTAAAATACTGCTTAGGTTATCTTTAGAAAGTGGCAGAACACCACCAAAATCCCCTTCAACTAGAAACTACAAAGGCAATTTTTCTATAGGGCTAAGCAGTTGTCAGAGACATAGAAATATGTATTCTTTGTTTCTTATAGACATAAGTTGGATGGAAAAAAATCAAAAATTATTCAGTAATTCTAGATGAAAATTAAGAGGCAAGTATGTGAAAAAATATTACTGGGACATCTGGGAGGAAAGATTACTTGTAATAATCTTCATAAGGAAAATAAGAATATGTCTTTCAATTTTGCTTCAGTATACACAGCTATAATTTATTAAGAATGATCTATTTCAGTATAATTTTTGTTTGCATAATAGTATATATTTGGACTTGTCTTATTTCAAATAAAATTATTTCCCCTTAAAACAATTCCTCTATGTGTTGTTGTCCCCTTTATGCAAAAAGATCTTCCCTTAAAAACCTAGCCAGCACACACATTCTGCAATTTTATCATTTTCTTATCATTTAAAAATCTGAACCAATCAGCACCTCAAAGTTTAGGAAGTAAAGGCGATGTTGTAAGATGCCTTACCCATCATAGAGGTTACAAGACTCAATACAGCTCCTTCCTCTGCTGAAACGACGGCAGGACAGGCACTGGTCGGGGCCAGGTCCCCAACAGCCATCGCCTGAACACAGATGGTTGCACACCATTCCTTCAGCAGCTGGAAAAGAAAAAGACAAATTCAAGAGTGAGATAAAAAAGAAGGTTGTGTTAAAACTTAACCATTAAAAAACAAACATTTAACCATTTTAATGGGAATCTGCCCAATGATGCTATTTCTGAAGAAACTGGTTTGAAGGGGATGTGTGGCAGATAACTCAGTCTGCCTACTCAGTGTGGCCCACACTACTGTCAACTTCTTCCATATCACAGAGCCCCATCACTATGTGTGTAGAACCACTACATTTTTCATAAGAATGAATAAAAATGAATAAAATGAATAAAATGATGTAGATTGTCTACATCAAAATTCTAGGAAGGAAGGGTGATAGCAATTAACCTTCCAACTAAGGCAAGGAGCAAACCATGCCTTTCTCAACCCAACCCTTTGTTCCACTAAGACACCAAAAATTTTCACTTCACATCCATATGAGAGCTTCATGAAGGAATGGAATAATAATTCTTTAAAAAAATAAAATTTAGAGAAAGGAAAATAATATCTGGAAGGTAGGAGGAATGAGAGAAATGGAAATAAAATATAAGTTTTTTACAGGCTTCTGCTTGCCTTAATATTTAGTTGAATTGGCACATGTAAGGAAAGGGTTTTGCAAATACGTGCAACAAATTGTAGTGGTCACTGATGAGGAGGTATAGAGATGAAAGTAATAGCGATGATCTTTAGCTTTGTCTCTATAGAATCTGCTAATGAAAGTGCTTCCAAAGAATTTGGGGACTGTTTTAAAATTGCCACTTAAGTTCACCATCTCTGTGTCCTTTTATATCAACATCTATTCAGAATATTGCTCTTTATGTGGAATAACATGATTTTCATAAAGGGATACTAGATGTTGAATAGGAAGGGCCTAGAAAGACTTCAAACGTCTGTAAAGTGATTTGAGTCCTCTGAAACACAACCACATGTGGTTTTCATAAAATATTAGGAATTTCCAAGATTCAAAAAGCACATCAAAAAATCTTTATCTTCCCATTATTTACCAAGGTTAATTATTATAGGATGTAAGTTGTCATGACAAAAGCATTTGTAGGACGGGTTGAGATAATATGTGAGTGTAATATAAACAGGGGAAGATGTCCATGAATGCTACCTTTTTAAACACAGTTTTGAGAAAGAAATTGCCAGCATTCATGATGCTAACTTGTTTTTAAAAAGTGAAACAAAATCGTCCAATTCATGTATTCTTCCTCTTATATCCTGCAGCCTTAAGGGGGTCCCTATGCTAAACTGTGGAAAATTTTTTCTCAAGGCGGAGTGAGACTACCAACAAGTCTTTTTACTTTACTTTTTGCTTAATTGAATAATTTCTTCCAACATAGTTTAAGAGAGAAACTGTGTAACTGTGTGTTAGTGTGTTTGGCATCTTTATTGAAGTATAGATGATACATAATACATAGCTCATACCTAAAGTGTACAATTAGATATTTTGACATATGCATGCAATCATGAACCATATACATAATTAGAGTAATGAATGTATCCATTAATTCCAAAAGAATTCTTATGACCTTACATAATCCCTTCCTCATTCCCCATCCCTCTCAGACAACCATTGATAGGCTATTACTTAATATACATTAGTTTGCACTTCTTATAATTTTATATAAATAGAAACATAGAGTATATACTCTCTCTTATATAGTTTTTTTTCACTTTGAACAATTATTTTGAGATTTATCTATGTTGCTGTGTGTATCAATATTCATTCATTTTTATTACTAAATATATTCCATTGTATGGATATACAACATTTTTTAAACCATTCACCTATTGCCACACATTTAGACTGTTTTCCACTTTGTGTTATTAAAAATTAAGCTACTATAGCGGCATCTATGTGTCTCGGTCAGTTAAGCATCTGACTCTTGATTTCAGTTCAGGTCTTGATCTCAAAGTCATAAGGTAAAGCCCAATATCAGGCTTTGTGCTTATTATAGAGCCTGTTTTAAGATTTTCTCTCACTCACTCTCCCTCTGCCCCTCCCCACACTGCTCCCACACACTCTAAATAAATAAATAAATAAAATCTGCTATAAACATCCATGCACAAGTCTTTGTATAGCCATATGTTTTCATTTCCCTTCAGTAAACACCTAGGAGTAAAATGGACATAGTATGTATAGGATTAACTTTTCATGGAATGGTCAAATTGTTTGTCAAAGTAGTTGTATCGTTATATATTCCCAATAGTAATAAACTCAACTCAAGAATTACAGTTCCTTCACATTTTTGCCAATACTTTATATGATCAGTCAGCTTAATTGTATCCTTCCTAATAAGTATGTAGTGATATCCAATTATAGTTTTGATATGCATTTCCAAAATAATACCCTATGGTACTGTATGGTACTCTCCAGAGAAACAAAATAAACAAAATGAACAGGATACATATGATTTCTTATAAGGAACTGGATCATATAGTTATAAAGGCTGAAAAATCCCATCATTTGCTCAGGAAAGCATAGTTTCGGTCTCAGTCCAGAGGCCTGAGAACTGTGACCACAGATGGTGTAAGTCTCATCCAAAGGGCAGGAGATGGCCAATGTCCTAGCTCAGAAGTCAGACTGAGAGAGTGAATTTTCTCTTCTTCTATCCAGGCCTCCAGTGGGTTGGATGATGCCTACCTATTTTGTTCCACTTAGCCTACAAATTCAAATGCTAATCTCATCCAGAAACACCCTCATAGATACACTCAGAAATAATGTTTAACTAAATATCTGGACACCGACGACGCAGTCAAGTTGACACATAAAAGTCACTATCACAAGCAGTACGTAAAGATCCATTCATTTTTTGCATATAGATAACCAACATTTCCAGTACCATTTGTTAAAAACACTCTTTGTCTTGCCTTTGGAGGTGTGTCTTGCAAGAAGTTGCTGCAGCCAAGGTCAAAGAAGTTGGTATCTGCATTCTCCTCCAGGATTTTGATGGGTTCCTGTCTCACATTTAGGTCTTTCACCCATTTTGAGTTTATTTTTCTGTATGGTGTAGGAAAGTGGTCCATTCTTTTGCATGTGACTGTCCAATTTTTCCAACACTTTCGTTGAAGAGATTTATCTTTTTTCCATTGGATAGTCTTTCCTGCTATGTTGAAGATTACTTGACCATAGAGTTGTGGGTCCATTTCTGGGTTCCTTTTTCTGTTCTATTGATATCTATCTGTTTTTGTGCCAGTACCATACTGACTTGATGATTATAGCTTTGTAATATAGTTTTAAATCTGAAATTATGATGCCTCTAGCTTTGGTTTTCTTTTTCAACATTCCTTTGTCTATTTGGGGTCTTTTCTGGTTCCATACAAATTTTAGGATTGTTTGTTCCATCTCTGAAGATGTTTTGATAGGGATTGCACTGAATGTGTAGCACTAACGTGAAACACTAACCTAAAATTCATATTTTGTGGATATTTTTATAAAGCATAGTTTGTTACTTAATAAAGCCAACTTTAAAATGTTTTAATTACAAGAGTAAAGAAAAAAAGTCTTTAGAGGCATCTCAAGCATAGACTTTTTTATGCATTTAAAATCTCACCAGATCATTTTTAAATTCCTCAACATCTAGGCTCTTAGTAATAACCACTCTTATTTCTTCCATATCTACCCATGGTTTATGCGCTACTTACACTTACAATTCACCACCTTGATAAGGTAAATTTTTCTTCTGCCTCAAGAAGGTCCTTGTTATTTCTCCTTCTTTTCCTTTCCCCCAGGAAGGAATGTTTCATTAAGTAAAAGTTAAATATTGTATCTTTACACCACATAATTGGTAGCACAGACATTTTTAACAATATTTGTTCTTCCAATCCATGAGCATGGGATGTTTTTCCATTTTTTTGTGTCTTCCTCAATTTTTTTTTAAATGAATGTTCTATAGTTTTCTGAGTACAGATCCTTTATGTCTTTGGTTAGGTTTCTTCCTATGTATCTTATGATTTGGGGCACAATTGTAAACAGGATTGATTCCTTGAGTTCTCTTTTTTCTTCCTCATTGTTCGTGTATTAGAAATGCAACTGATTTCTGTGCATTGATTTTATATCTTGTGACTTTGCTGAATTCCTGTATCAGATCTAGCAATTTTTTGCTGGAGTCTTTTGGATTTTCTACACAGAGTATCACATCATCTGAGAAGAGTGAAAGTTTGTCTTCTTTGATGATTTGGATGCATTTTATTTTATTTGTTGTTGTTGTTGTCGTCTGAGTGCTGATGCTCGGACTTCCAGTACTATGTTGGACAGTGGTGAGAATGAGCAACCCTGTCATATTACTGACCTTAGGGGAAGAGCTCTCAATTTTTCCCCAATGAGGATGTTGTTTTTCCAGCTCCTGTAAGTGTAAGGTTAAGTTGTGTATTTGAGACTTTCCTTGTTTCTTGAGGAAGGCCAGTATTGCTATATATTTCCCTTTTAGGACCACCTTTGCTGTATCCCAAAGGTTCTGAACTGTCGTGTTTTCATTTTCATTTGCTTCTATTTATTTTTTCTAATTCTAGTTCTCTTATTATTTCTACCAGATCTGCAGTTCCTTCCTCCCCTTAAGTCTTGAACCCTTTAAAATCATCCATTTAAGTTGGGATCAACTTCTTCCAAGTTCCTTTAATGTTGATATTTTGACATTCTCCCATGAATCACAAATGTTCTTAGTGGCATCTAGGATGGTGAATCCTTTCCAGAAGGTTTTCAAGGTATTTTGCCTAGATCCATCAGAGGAATCACCATCTATGGCAACTATAGCCTTATGAAATATATTTTGAAATAATAAGACTTAAGAATCAAAATGGGCTTTTTGATATATGGGCTACAGAATGGGTGTTGTATGAAAGCATAAAAACAATAATCTCATGTACCTCCATCAGAACTCTTGGGTGGCCAGGTGAATTGTCAATGAGCAGTAATATTTTGAAAGGGAACTTTCTTTCTGTGTAGCCGGTCTCAAGTGGATTTAAAATAGTCAGTAAACCATATAGTAAACAGACTGCTGTCGTTC